GGCCAGCCTGTCACCATAGCAACCCGCTAACTCATCACCTCGCCTCAATTCACATAGCGCCGTGGCGTGACCACGCCGGCGGCTCCAGGCAGGCACCGAGGCAGGCCTACATCTGGCATGTAAAACCCCAGGCCACCCCGCAGCCCCCCTCGCAGACTCGCCTTGTCTGAAAACCAGCTCTTCCTCTAACCATTTCCTTTCCGACCCGTGCTCTAAATGCAGCTGTGTACACAAAAGAAGGATTCATGCAAAGGGGCGTGGGAGACCCTTTAACTCCTAGCATACCAAATTCCGTGCCATGAAGATTAATCTTGGACATTTGGGGGGAAAAAATCTAAAAAGATCTGGTGGCCAGTTTCTACAAGAGATGCCTGATTAAAGGGGTTAAAATTTCTAGCTTCTGCCTCCACTTTTCAAAGCAGCAACAGCTTCCTCAATAGAAGGAAAATTAAATAAATAATACAAAACACCTTGGAGGAGGCCGTCTTTTCTTCTAATCAGTGTATAGCCTTTCCTTTAATAATGTGAGGATTTAAGATTGCAAATTATAAGATCTTCTGTATAGAAGAGTCACAAAAAAGGTTTTGTTTTGTTTTTTAAATAACCACCATTTTGGAGTGTCAGTTACCCAAGACCCTCCAATTCAAATTCCCTATACTGCTTCCTGATACAGATCATTGATTGCTGGCCGTCTATTTTATTTCCATGTGAATAACAACTGACTACCTCATTTAGTATTTGGGAGTCTCAACATTTAAGCTGTTCTCTATCACTGTAGTTTTCAAACACGATGGCTGTGAAATATTAATATCATCCCCACTTTAAAAACGAGTATACTAGATGGTTTTAATTACTAAAGGTCACACAGGTAGGAAATGGTAAATAAGACAATGGCACAATGATGTGCCCTCAAATACTACAGATCAAATACTTTAGGACTTGATCAAATACTCTAGGTACACTCCCAGTATGACCAGTATGACCCAGTATGAAAAGATGACTGTGAATAGAATCACACATACTGTAAAATCTGTGGATTCGATTTTTATATTCTCTACAGACACCAAATGTGTCCAGTACTGTCCTCCAGAGAGAAGAGTTTGAAGGATTCTCTACTATCAGAAGTGACCTCTAAACTTTCATGAGATGGGAAAGAATTGGGGTATAAAAGACAGTATAAATATACATGGCAAAAGCAACTAGGCTATGGCTCGCTCTTTCCCATTACTGTATAGTTTATCAGCTTCATCATTCTGTGATACAGATATTAAAAACAAGTAAAAACTCTGTCATTCCTGACAACTCTCCAGCATATGTCCCTGGTTATAAGTTATTTCTGGTATCAGGCTTCTGGAATTGGAATCAAATGTTCACAACCCAGATGGTAATGATAATCTCAAACAGGGGGCCTTCTTCTATTTTATTTTCTCCTTTTGGGCAATTATTTTACTTAAAATAATAATATTTTTTGCTTCTATTGTTAGTTCCCTTTGTACAAGTGATTCCTTTGTTCACATACGAAAAATTTTCTCGTATAATGTGTCCAGTTCGAATCTGTGACTTACAAGGTACACAGACAAATAGCTATGAAATATACAGAAAGCTTCACATTGCACAATGAGGCAAAGGGACATAACAGTTAGTCTCTGCTACAAAGAACCATGCTTCCTCTTACTATTTGTGTTTCTTGACCCACTGCTGTCAGTGTTCTTACTAAGTGGTTCCCTTTCACAAAAGCTTCTCTTTCAGAATGATAGTCTGAAGTTGAAAGGCACAGTTTAAAATCAAATATTCAATATTTTCAGAGTTGCTTTCACAATTGGGGGTTCTTTAGAACAGCTTATTTTCCCATGATCATTCTATATTTAAGCAATATGTTAGACATAGTTGGTGTTATCATGAGAACTAAATTGCTCAGAATTTGAATGTATAGCTTGTTAATTATATCAACTCATTTGTGGAACAAGAACTCCCACTTTGTTTCTAGGCTGCTCATGAAGGAGGGGAAGATGGCCAAGAATTTGGTTAATGGGCTTACAGGGTAGGGGTAGTGAGTCAGGTGAAGGAGGTGTCTAGGAGCCCATGTAAATCTTCCTCTACGACTGCTCTCAGCCATACTAGTATAAAGGGACCTGGAGAACTCTTGAGACCAGTGATTACACTCTGAGATACAGGGGTAACAGGAGCAATAATTTGAAAATATTAAACAGATGTGTTTTCATTCCTCTCCTCATAAATCAGTTTACCTGGCAGTCATTCTCCAGTTTAGCCCTGGGGAAAAGAGGGCAAATTCCACCTTGGGAAAGAGGGTGATACAATATAAGGAAACTGCAGAAAAGACAGGAGGAAGGGAGGAAAAAACCCCATATTTTCCCACCTTGAGTGTAGGAAGAAGGTAATGAGGTGGGAAAAAGCAAGATCACCCATCTGTAGGCCTCCAGGCTCATGTTCTAGAAGGGAGACATTAAAAAGGCTGAAGACAAAGCCAAAACCTAAGGGATTTGCTTTTGTCTCATTTCACATATGAGATCTTGGAAACAACTGCCTAGAAAGAATTTTCAACAGCTCTCCTTCTCTAAGAAAGGCTTAGCCCCTTGATAGTAAAGACCACCTTTTCCCGAAAAGGTGGCCCCATCACAGTGAAGATTGATCAATAGCTTGAAATGATTAGAGAGAGGGTAGGCTTGCATTGGACTCTCCAAAGTATAGAAACATGATGTAGAACATATTTACAAGTTTCTATCTACCCTGTAGGGCACAGGAAGCTTGAATGCATGGTGCTATCTGAGTTAATGATACCAGTAGTGGGAGGGGACATCATTACAACTCCCAGTTCTGTAGGGTGGAACTTCTAGGGTAGACCCCAAAATATACAAATAGCCACCTCTGCGGAAGCTACACAGTGCCAGGGGTAAGTCTATGGGGAGACACTGAAGTTGAATTGTTTAGCATAGGACACTAGCACAATGCTCATGGACAGGGTCAGAGCAGCTACTCCTCAGCAAACTCAAGATGCTGTAAATCCAAGGACCAGCCTGAGACCAGGAGGCCCTCTTTGTGGCTCTATCAGCCCCTGTTCAATCCTGCAGACATCATCTTGGGGAGGGATTAGGGAAAGGGAAGAACATCTAAAAGACTGAATATCTAAGCAATGGAGCCATCCAAATATAGCCTAAATTGGAAGAGGCTGTAACACTGTTAGTCATCAAGTTTAAACCTGCTTCTTCAGCCTCCAACAGCACATGGAGAGGAACACAGATTTGTGTGTGTGTGTAAACTATTTTTGTACATTTGACTGTGGATTAAAGTTTTGTCTAATGAACATAGGTATATCTAAAATTAAGTAGGTGCAGACCACTTTCCTCCATCTCCAAGTGCCCACGGAAAATGACTCCTCTCATCAAGCATCATGATTTAAGTAGGGGCTCTGTCATCTCAGGCAGATCACTGATGATGTAAGTTATTTTATGTGTCTAACATTTCATTTTCTAATCTATAAGGCAGTTTTAATAATAATGGTTCCACAGTGCTGCTGTAGGGTTAAGTGCATTTAAAGCACTTAAAGACACATTGATGGCATACAGCAAACCTCATTAGTGGCAGATGTTATTTTTAAATAATATGTTAGGCATGCCCCAAAATGTTCATTCATTTTTGTAACACTTACAACTGGCTTTCTTTTGTTGTAAGAGCTAGTAAAACAAGAGGACCTCAAAGAATCCCCAAGGTTGCGAGTAAGCAAGGTTAAAAACATTTGGCAATTATAACTACAACATAACTACTATGGTATCACGCAGGGTGATATGGGACCATAGAAGGTAAACACTGCAGAGTGGAAACAGGGAAGTGGATTTAAAGAGTCCCCTCAGGTCACCGATGCCCAGCTTGGATGAATAATAATAATAGTAGTAGCCTTTTCTGTTCCCTTCCTACACAATAGAACACAAGTTCCCTTAGGAAATGGGCTCCAAGTATTCTAATCATTGCTATAGTTCAAGTTCTTAGACTACGGCCTGGTAAGTAGTAGCTACTAAGTGAATGCATACTTCACTAATTTATGGAGCAAATATCTAAATTGATTGTCACAACCACAATGAGAAAATTAAGGCTCAAAGAATAGAAGCAACTTGTCCAGGATTAAATTTCAGAGTTTCTTGGTCCCAAAGCTCACACACTTAGGCATCAGGCTTTGTTATCATTTAAAAGAGGAATAGTAATACAAGGGGAAGATAATGCAGATATGCTTAGAGAGAGAGAAGGGTATGACATACCTGGGAAACAGTGGGGTTTTTATTATGGACAGAGAGCAGAGTACAGAATGATGGCAGACAGGGCAAGAGCCAAGGAGAACAAAAGTCACATGGCCAAACCAAGGAACTGGACCTTAGTTATTAAGATGATTTGGAACCATGAAATGGTGTAGGAAGGGAATTGATAATGAAATGTATATCAAGAAGGTGTGATGCTGCCAGCAATATGTATTGAAGAAGATTAAAAAGGGGTCAAAAAGTGACAAAGACCTAAAGTAAAATGGAGGTCAACGGTTTGTAGAAGAAAGTGCAAATCTGAGATATTCAGAGAGTATTACTTTTGCAAGACAGTGACTAATTAGGCATGGGCATAGACATGGGTGGGAGTTAAGGGTAGGTAGCAAAGGAGAAAGAGGCATCTCAAATGGATCTCAAGTTTATACTTGGGTGACCAAGTGGACAACAGTATCATTTATCAACATTAGGAATACAGATTAAACTGTTCTTTGAGAAGAAAAGTCCTCACAGTGTATTCTAGACATAGAGAAATACCTATAGGACATCCTAGTG